AGAAGTCCCGCAGTATCGAAGGCTCGCAGGCCTCTCGAATGCCTGTAAAGCGGAAGCTCTGCACCTCTTGCGTCATCAGCACCACCTGCACAGGGGAAGACACAAACAACCAAAGACAAGCAGCACGGGTTAAATGACACGAAACACACTTCTGCAAAATCCAATAAAATAAACATAGACAAACACCCACCTACAAACTCTCACGACGACCTACGTGTGCCAGCACAGCAACAAGCAATACGACACGAGACGAAGCAAACAAAAGCGGCAGTTTACTTGCATCGTTATATGTGTACTGTTTGCATGAAAGTGTTTCCTCCAGACTAAAACACTTGCATATCATACGTGTACGCACCTGCGTGGGGGGGTTCAGAAGATCCTTGTGGCTGCGTCTGCCGATGAGACCAATGGCCACAGGCACCAACAGTGGCTTCTTTTCGGGCTCTCCCGGCGTTGGTTCTACCTTCTGCTGAAGTGTTATGGTGTAAGCCCCCATAAAGCTGTCGAAGCTAACAGAAACGACTCGCAATGTAGGAGTACCCGCCTGCGTCACAAGTACACAAATAGCAGCCGACATAATCTCTCCTCACTGCAACGCCACCGGCCCCCGTTCCCGCCCATCAAATCCATTACGCTTTGTCTTGGGATCTAGGGTATTGAGGTTTGTATTACTGCACCTTCTTGTCCCAGTAAACACGAAAACAACCGCCCAGTGCATGCATACTTGCATAAATGCAGCCCGAAAAACAATATCCACCTACACGCGCCTCCTAATTATCAGCCCCAAGCCCCAAACCCTAAACCCTCAACCCTAAACTGACTTGGCGGAACCACAAGTCGAATGCTGAGAGGTCGATGCCGCTGGCTTCTGACATCGCCGCCCTGAAATCTTCTGAGGTCACGGCCATTCCGTCGTGCCTTCTGAAGTACAAATCCATTCCCTTGCGGTATTTCTCCTCGCCCAAGATGGTGCGTACCCTGAGACGGAAAACCGTAAACCATGAACCGTAACCGCTAAACAAGGCAACTTCGCTAATATGAAGAGAAAATTCCCGCGACTTTGAACTCCCCCTGACAACAAATAGACTCAAACCCTACGAAAACCCAGCCCCCACGCTCGGAACAAACACGGCGCACTCCAGACCCTAAACCATGAACCCTAATCTTGGCCTACATGCGCATCACTTCTGCTCCCTTCCAGTAGGTGGTCCGGTTGTAGAGGTTGTGGACTGCAAGGTAGCTCTCCGGCCTCACAGGAGTTGCAAGGGCCCCACTATCTTCTGGAAACTGCAAATTTATGAGCCGCTTCATGTCTTCGATCCGGTGCACAGCAGCAGGCGCCAAAGTGGTGCTGAACAGCCGCTCGCGGAACGTTGTTAGGCCTTCCTTAAGCCACAACTCGGTCCAGTCTCTGCATGCAAAGCGGCACGACACGCGTACGCACATACACATATAAACACGAAGGAGCAACCGTGTTCTGTGCTTTTAAAAGGCTATAGAAAACCGAAACGCCCTGCTGGATGCAGCAAGGACCAGAAGACCAAGAAACAGACTTGCAACACAAGACAGAAGCTCACCGAATTGTCACTCTGTTGCCCGTCCAGTTGTGGAAGTACTCGTGGGCCACCGTTGAAATCACTTGAGAGAACTCGATGTCTGAAAAAACAGCAAAACCTGCAATGCATCCGAACTATCACTATCCCAGCAACACATGAACCCGCGCCTATGCGGTCATCCACCAGCGGCAACCCCAACAGCAGCTGCTGCTGAGCGAGGGCTGTGTGGCTAACCTGTACTGATATCGGGGTGCGCCAACAGGGAATGGCAGTTGAAGATGAGGAGACCCTTGTTCTCCATGGCGCCGCTGTTGAAGTCGTTGACGCAAACAACGTTCAGGGTGTCGAGGTCGTATTCGCGTCCGAAGGCCTCCTCGTCCCATTGCATACTCAGCCGCAAAAACACCTTCGCGAACTCCAAATAGCCTGCATCTTCGGGAGGGCTGTACAGCTGCAGGCTCACTTTCCGGCCGCTCTGCACACAGAAACAGCATTCGCAGCAGCAAAGGCTAAACTCCGCTAGCCACGCAATAAGTAAGATACACGGGTGTCTGGATGGAAGGAACGAAGTCAGTGGAGCGAATTTACATCAAAAACGCAGAAAGGATGCAAGA